GGGTAGACACACGTGGGCAAGTAGTCCCATTTTCCTGTGGGCCACAGCAGAAAGGCACAGCCCAGTCAGGAGAGGCTTGGCCTCTCAGTTAATCCTTCTGCAAATGCCCTCGCAGACCTGCCTGAGACCCCGCTCTTCATGGATTCCAGATCCAATCAAGTTGACAAACTCAGGTGAGCCATCACATCAGTGTGTTAAAAATAGTATTTTAAGATACACTCAGTATTAAAACGTTAGACTTTTGCTACAGCAAAGCTGTAAGCACAGCACTCACCTCACGGATCTGAGACCCTATCGGGAGCTCAGAGACCACACAGCTACTGCCTCTGGGGCCAGATGCTAATTCTGCACACCCCTACAACTGCCTGGAACCTGCTGGAAGGATGCAGTATCTACCCTGAATGCTTTATTTCCCTTCTTTGATTGTTCGTTTCTGACAGAGCTTCCCGTGGACTGAGTGGGAAGGGATGCTCACTGAATGGTTCCAAATGTGGACCAGGGAACCAGAGCGTCTGGGCCCAGCCCTGGCGAAGCTTCTGACATAGTGAAATAGGACACTGGGAGCAGTGGCAGGACACCGGAGCCACTTGCTAAGCGTTCTTCCCCATCTGCACACCACCCCACACCCACACATGCTTACAATACATACTTACCTTTTAGTTTTTAGAAATGACGTCTACTGACTCTGAGGGGACAGCACATGCTGCACGTGTGGGGGTCAGAGGAAAAGTTCAGGAGTCCGTTCTCTTTCCGCTAGGTGGGTCCGCTCAGGACCAGTTCTGATGCTTGGCAGGGGCCTTGCCAGCTGAACCATCTTGCTGGCCCAATGTATTTGTTTTTCTGCTTCATAAAATCCACTGACATTTTTTTAACTGACATGAAATTCACATAAATTTGCATAATATGAAATTAGCCATTTTAAGGTGAAGGCACTTAATGTGTTTGAAATTTATGCAGATGCCACCCCCATGAAGCTCCAAAGCACAGCTCACTGCTTGGAAAGGAATCCCTCCGAACAGCTCCATACCCCCCCCCCCCAAGCCTGGCAACGCCAGCTTTCATTCTCAACAGACTCATCTATCAGGAAACGGCAAACACGTTAAGGTGGCTGGAGAGATGGCTCAGCTGTTACAACTGCCCACTGTTCCCCCATGAGACCTGGGTCCAGTCCCCCAGAAACCACATGGGGGCTTACCACCACCTATAAACTCCAGTTTCAGGGATCTGGTGCCCTCTTCTAATCTCTGAGGGCACCATGCACGAATATAGTGCTCACATATACATGCAGGCAAGACACTTATACACATAAAATATTAAGAAATAAGCGTTTGCCGGGCGGTGGTGGCAAATGCCTTTAGTCCCAGCACTGGGGAGGCAGAGGCAGACAGATCTCTCTGAGTTCAAGGCCAGCCTGGTCTACAGAGGAGAGTTCCAAGACAGGCTCCAAAGCTACACTGAGAAACCCTGTCTTGAAAAACAGAAAGAAAAACGAAAAAGAAAAACCAAAAAAGAAATAAATGTTTACACACACACACACACACATATACAAGACATATATAACATATATCACGTTAACAAACATTGCAAGACTTACTGTCAAGGTCATTTGAAATGTATTGGTCAGTGGTGTTTTTGCACAGTTGTGAAGTAGGGCTCAAGAGCATCTTGAATTTTATAGTGATTTTATATCACTAAATAGCACATGTCTCACTCCATAGCCCTGACAACACCTCACTCCTTTTTATTGACAAACAATATTCTATCGTACGACTGTCCCCCTTCTATCCCACCGGTGGCTTGTGGTTGGATTCCTTCTTTCTGACTATTATAAATAATGTTATAGGTTTATATCTCAGCTTTCTATGTAGATACAGGTTTTCACTTCTCTATCTAAAAGTAGAATTTGCCACGTCACACGTTAGCCCTGTGTCTAGCTTCTTGATAAGGATGATGTTTTTGGCGGTTGTTTTGATTTTTAATAAAAAGTGTTCCTGTGTAGGCCAGGTTGACTTTCAACTCAAGATCCTTTTGCTTCAACCTGCTAACTGCTGGGACCATGGGCCACCTTACCAGGCTGTGTGTAGCTCGGGAGGGTCTCTGGTGACTCCTCTTGTCTTCGTAAACTAAGAGTTCAGGCCCACAGCTCAGGAACAAGGGTCACCAGGCTGTTTCATAGAGTTCTTGGGAAGGACTGGAGCCTGCCCTGGTGAGGGACGCAAAGATGTGTGGACGTTGGGTCATCCCAGGGGCTGGTGTAAGCGTGGGAAGGCAGTGTTAGCATTCAAGGGTCAGAGGCCAGAGATGCTGAATTGCCTTTGAAGTGCATTTTTAAGGCTGACCCTGCTTCATGAAGCAATGCCTCCACCAAACTAGCAGGGCGTCCTGGGATGGCTGGCCATTTTCTCCGTAAGAACCAAGGTGGCGTCAGGACTAGAGCAGATGCGGTGTCTGGAGGCTTCCTCCTCACCCTAGCCCAGGTGAAGAGAACCTTGCCATTTAGGCCTCATTACAATGGTATTTAGTCACCTCAGTTGCTATGACAAAATGTCCTAGGTGTGGCTTAAAGAACAAGCAGTTCTCAGTGGGCCGAGCTGCCCGATCCACAGCACGGTGACTTTCCCTGGCCTACAGATGGCTCAGTTCCCTGTGTCCTCACACAGGGTTGGGGCGGTTTTGATTTTCTTTCCTTATAAGGTCATTAATCCTACAGTGAGCCCCACCCTCATGACTTCATTTAGTCCTAATGACAAACGTTCCATCTCTAAGTGTCATGGCATCAGATGTGAGGGCTTCAGAGGATGGGGGCAGCGCACAAAGTGCGTGAAAATGTCGGCATTTGAGGTTCCTGTTCCGTAGCTAGAGCACAGGACTGGCGAGGACTGGCCAGGCTGGAACTGGCTCTGAACTCCATCATCCTGTGCTTACGGTCTCCTTTAACCAGCACGGGGGCTTCTGGCTGGCGTATAATGGTTTCCTTTCCCCAGACAGAGAAACTGGGAACTGAGAGCCAAAAGTAATTTCCAAGCTCACCCAGGTCTGAACCAAGAAAAGCTGAGGTCCAGAGTCACCGCCTGCCAGGGCAGAGCTGGGAGGAAAAGCCCTGATCTGGATCCTTGCTTCGGGACACTTGCCCCACCCCAGGCCCGGCTGGCTCTAGCCATGATGAGCCTCCGCCCCGCCCGACTTAGTGACTCACGCTCTTGCTCAGCTGTCTGTGTCACTGCCCACAGCCAACTCACACCCCCGCTCTCCCCACTTGGAGACACTGGAATGACAAGCCAGATGATTTTTAAGACTGTGTTTTGACCTCATTTTAATATTAGGAACGAATCTGCTTAACTGTTGAAATGGGTAAATTCAGAGCCAGAGCCACAGCATCTTTGAATTGCCCTGGGACTTCAGGCAACCCCATAAGCCAGAAACGTTCTGGGAGGGGGCGGAGTTGGGGTGGGGGAGTCCCTGCCTGGTGTCTGCTACCCTCCCAATATGGAGTCAGATGACCTTGGTGTGAGTCCAAAGCAAAACTAATCCTTGACAACTTATTTTTCTTTCCTAAGCCCTGGATTGCTTTCTTATGCATCAGGAATGATTTATTTACCTCACAGCTGAGCTGTGGTGAAAACTATAAGCAGTCAATGAAGTGAAGTGAAGCTGTGGCCAGGCAGCCAGGCCTGTGTTGACTTGCAGGTTAACCAGTTCATTTCCGGGGCACTGCTGACTGCTGGTGAAAGTGGTGAAGGTGCTTTGACTGGAAATGGTGTTGGATTTGACACACCCTGGACAGGCGCTGAGGCAAATGGGCGTGGCAGAGACTCCACCTATTGGCCAGGAGGCTGACACAGGGGTGGAGTCCTGCCTTGTACCTCCCCTGCCACGGAGGGTCTCCCCTTGCCCTTTTTGTTTCCTCATTTCCTTTAGGAAGCCCAGGCCTTGGTGTGGCAGGAAACCCAAAGAAACAGAAACTCACCCTGGAGCCTCCTGTTGGAGCTGCATCCTGGCTACCCCACTTGAGCAGCCTGAGGCTAAGGGAATTGACTGTGGTCAGCGTTCCTTTCGTGGCCTCATTTGTAAAAGGCAGAGAAGGTCATGGCTTCTGTCTTGCCAAGAGCAGGATAGAATCTGCCTGTTTTAATGTGGCCAGTCGCCCCTGAGACGTATTGGCTGAGAATACACCGCTCACTGTGTCTCGGGATTGTGCGCCTGAGAATGTTTAGGAGAGATTATCGTACATTAATTGATGTGGGAAGATCCACCAGTCACTGCAAACCACTTCCAAGGCCTAGGATCCTGGCTGAATGAACAGGAGAAGTCTGGCTGAGCAAGGACATGACTGCTGGTTTGTTCTCTGCCTGTTTGGATACCACCTGATCATCTATTCCAAGCTCCTGCCGTGATCTACTGTACATTCCCCTCCCCTACATTGCTTCTGCTGGGGTGTTTTATCACATTTTATTCCCGGTGTGTTGGCAGATGTTCTCTCTAGCATGGTGGATGCAGGCCCCCTGAACTGTTACCCTGGGTTTCTACCCAAGAGGCAGGAGCTGAGAGATCCTTAGTGCCTGGTCCTGCCCATGGAGAAATGCCAGTTCTAGTAAATTCTGTTAGTTACCGTCATCCCCGAGACTAAAGTTCAAGGAGACAAGGCACAGACCCGTAGTAAGTAGCAGAGAAACTTGTTTTTCTCTTGCATTTGTATGTGAGGACTCCTGAACGTCTTTGGGTCAGTTTGATAATCCCGGCGTAAGGACGGTCTTCACGGCTCTGCCGCACCCACTGCCCCTGTACGCCAGAAGCCCCGGAAGCTGGGCGGTGGGTGTCTGCATCTTACTGCATTGTTTCCTAATCGCCCCCGATACAGATTCTCTAGCATGCCCACACTTGTTTGATAGGGCTGTGAAACCCCGAGACTGTATTAATAAAATCAACCTTGAATCAGGGGTGGAGCCAGTGACCCGTTGACAGGACTTAGCCAGAGAGTATGGAGAAGCCAGGAACTCGGATCGAGAGATGCACAGGAAGGAGCAGGGAGGGAATTATCCACAATTTCGTTTTGGTTTGAGACGAGTGAAAGGAAGGACAGCTGGTTGCTTCTCGGCTTCTCTGATCTAACAGGCTTCACCCCAACATCTGACTCCCAAGTCTGTGTTGGTAAATAGAACAACTTAGTTAAAAGCAACAGTTGGCATCTAATGCGCGGCACGAGATCAGACGAGCTGGCTGAAGCCTCTCTATTGCCACTTCTCCTGCCGTGGCCCGCCCACTCGGGCTCCTGCCACTGCGGCCACCGCCATGCCTCTCAACCCTGGATGCCTCACAGGCCCGCCACCGCAGCTGTACTGCAGATCTGGTAAGAAATCTGGGAAGTCTTTGAGGAGAGAGTTAAGCAATATTGAAGAAAACAAAAAAAAAGAAAGAAAAATCTTTCCCTTGTTAAGAATGGGAAGGACGACAACCCTGTGTGAGGGAACTGAGCCATCTGTAGGCCAGGGAAAGTCACCGTGCTGTGGACGGGGCAGCTCAGCCCACTCTGCGTCCCTGTCTCTTCACTGTGGCTCTCTTACTCCCTTGACAGAATGAGGACTGGCGTAGCCCTCCTGCGGGGTCCCAGAGCCCCCCACCCTCCCTTGACACTATCCCATGGGACCTGCGGCTTTGGTGCGGTGGTTCTCAGTCTTCCTCATGTGACCCCAGCCGTAAAGTTATTTTATTGCCATTTCATTGCTGCTGTTATGAATCATAATGTCAATATCTGACATGCGACCCCTTTGGGGTCATGACCCACAGGCTGAGAACGGATTCTATCTTGTATAAGTTGGGGAGGAGGCATACTTAGGCCAAAACACCTTCAACTACAGGCCCCAAACGAAGTATTAACTATCCATAAAGCACTGTGGTTTAATATAGAAAATCACGACCACTTATCAAGAGCATCTCTTGTTCCAGTGTGACTGCTGGCTGTCAGCCTGGCTTCAGCTGTCCCAAGGAAGGATATCTCTGGGTGAGACACATACTCACCATGCTTAGCTCTTAGCTCTGGATTAAATTGTACATTTTCTGCTCAAACCCTCTTTGGTGACATTTAAAGTCACGCACATTTTCTGGGCCTTTGGGGTCTGTTGGGAGATAGCTGGTACGCACCAAAATGTTCTCAGGGCTTCTGGGAAAGGCTACAGAATAACTATCCTGACTGGTGTTCTCTTTCATGTCTGTAATTCTGTGTCTGTGACAGAGACAGGAAGAGAACTGGTGGCCAAACAGCCTAAGGGCTATTAGGGAGAGAAGGAAAAGAAGTTGTCTGGGCACGCCTGAGTGAGCAAGGAAATGCAGTGCCAGCCCCAGCCACTGAACAGCAGCAGGTCCCAAAGCCCGCAGAGGCAGTCAGTCGGGCACAAGGATGCTCATGGGAGCTGGCTCTGATTCTTCTAGAGAAAACATCTCCAGAAACTCTCCAGGTTCCTGCTGAAATGTGGACCAAGTGGTAGAATCACAGGTGGTTAGTTCCCTAGGACGCCAGCATCAGCCTGCAACCACGCTCTCCCTCAGGAGCTGCTTGGGATGATGGTTCTCTCCTCCACCCCAGGGACGTGCCAGGACAAGGCCCGGGTCAAACTTTAACACCTGGTGACCCCAGCACGAGTCAGTCTTGTCTGTCTGACCCAAGAGACATTCTTATTACAGACAGAAGCATCTGGCAAGGCCTAAGGTTCTTTTTGTTTGATTGGTTTTTGGTTTTTGAGACAGGGTTTCTCTGTAGCTTTGGAGCCTGTCCTAGGTCTTGTAGACCAGGCTGGCCTTGAACCAGAGACCAGAGATCTGCCTGCCTCTGCCTCCTGAGTAAGGCCCAAGGTTCTTATTCCCAGCATCTGTGTTTACCGTCCTGTCTCTGGTGTAGAAGACATGGGAGGCAGTAGCCCACTCCTGGGACCTTCTGCATTGCTCTCAGGTTGAAAGCATGGCTTTGGTCTGGGCGTGGTGGTGACAACACTTTAATGTCAACACTTGGGAGGTAGAAGGAGGCGGATCTCTGTGAGTTTGAAGCCAGCCTGGTCTACATAGTGATTTCTGGATTAGCCAGGGCTACATGAGACCCTGTGAGATCCCGTCTCAAAAACAAACAAGACAACAATAACAAAAAGACCAACACACGGCTTTGTGCCTTATCTGGACTTCTAACCTCTCAGGCCCCATCACCTATTAAATGGAAGTGATGGTGATTGTGATGGTGATGGTGGTGATGGTGATGGTGGTGATGGTGATGGTGGTGGTGATGATGATGGTGGTAACTGTGATGGTAATGGTGGTGATGGTGATGGTGGTGATGGTGATGATGGTGATGGTGGTGATGGTGATGATGATGGTGGTGATGGTGATGGTAGTGATGATGATGGTGATGATGATGATGGTGATGATGATGATGGTGATGGTAATGATGATGATGCTGATGGTGATGATGATGCTGATGGTGGTGATGATGATGGTGATGATGATGGTGATGCCTGACTTATAAGATTGTAACAAGAATGAAACGAATTGACATTTTGGGACCATGCCTTGGAAGGGTTGTAAGGAGGATCGAAATGTTGGCTGTTGTCGTCAATAAAACTAAGAAACTATTCTGGGTAAATTCTGGACTTGAATCTGAAATCCCTTTGTCTTTTTCACGACTTTAGCTTAAGTTTTAAGCTTCAGTCACATCTCTTATTAATGGGCACGCGATGGGGGCCACCAATACCACAGCAGCAGAGTTCAGCAGGCTCCATATTTAATTATGACCCTCTACATGTGAGATCACTGCACCGTGGAGGCTTTGTATTTAGTATGAACCTCTGCATGTGAGGTCTTTTCTGGATCTGAGAAACATGCTCACAGGCTCTAGCCAATTTGCGGGCCTTCAATTATAATCTTTTTATAATTATTGTGGTTTATATGGTGTCACCTCTGCCAGGCAAGAATTGGGTTCTTCTGTGTCTTCTCCTCTGCATGTCAGCAGATAGAAGCTTGCGCAGCACTTAGAAGACAGAAGGGGAAAAGCTGCTCACTGGTCTCTGAAAGCCACTGTGGCTTGAGCAGAAAGGTAGCATGGAAGTGCTGGAAGATTCCAGCCTGGTCTCGCTCTTCCTGACTGTGACCGCCTCTTCCCCGTGAGTTTCTCAAGGTCCCACTTCAGCATGGGACAAACCTGGCTTCCCAGCACCCCTGCAAGCCCTGACCCTTCTCCCCCTGCCAAGGCTTTGGCTGAACTTCCAGGCCCCTCTTCCTCAGTTTCTTGTTTTCTAACAAACAGCATTTCTGTACTAGACCAAGGACTGTTACACAGAGAAACCCTGTCTCCAACCAAACAAACAAAAAACTCCTTGAACTTTTGAAATCTTTGTGTAACAATAGCATAAAAAGAGAAAGAAATCTGAAACGTTCCTCATTTTTCACACACTGTAAGTAACTTACTTATTCCTTTTCTACTTGCATTTAAATCATTTTCTGAGAACCTCAGAATTTACCAAGCTTTTATATCCTTAGATCTTTACATATCTAAGGACATTTAAAGCCTCAGGATAGGGTCATATAGCCTCAGACCTTTATATACCTTAGAACATTTTCTTAGATCCACAAAACTTGCATAGATTTTAACCCCTTTCTTTCCATCTAAGCATTTACCAGAGTCACAGGTGGCTGTTACTGAGGGCAGTCACTGCAAAGCCTGCTCCTTTAGTGGGAAGTTACATCTGAAACCTGTTTATCTTTTAAGATGAAGCCTGTTAGCAAGATACACCTGTCTACCTTTTCTCAACAGGAGACCTAATAGCTCTAGAAAAAGCAAGGCTTGATTTTTATGCATAAAATGAGCTAACAAGGTGGCTACAGCCTTGGGAAAGAACCTGGCTGCCTACTGCTGCCAAAGTGCCAAAGCTACAGCTAGCCTAGCTGTCAAAGCCATCTGTAGTGGCATTTCATTTGTATTTTAATAAATAAAGCTTGCCCGAGGATCAGAAAAGTCAAACAGCCGCACTGGCCAGCCTTATAGATGACACACACCTTTAATCCAAGTAGCCACAATGACACACATCTTTAATCTCAGTAGCCACACTAGCTTGCCATTGAACCAGGTGGTAGTGGTGCATGTCTTTAATCCCAGCACTAGAGAGGCATATTGGACTGGAGGACACAGCCAAGCGGTGGGGGCGCACACCTGTAACCCCAGACTCGCCTCAGCATGAAAGAACACTTGTTGCTCTTGCAGGGGATCAGGCTCCAGTCCCTAACGCCCACGTGGTGGCTCACGATCATCTGTAACCACAGTTTCAGGGGTTCTGACCTCCTCCTCTGAACTCTGTGGGGACAGGGGACACACATGGCGCACATACAAACATGAAGGCAAAATACTCACGCACGCTGAATGAATACATCCAAAAAGAAAACTGTTAAATAAAAGTATCATTAGTTCATACTCTGAGTTCACCTATTCAAATAGCAAAAAATCCTGGATCTATTTTATGTTTATGTTACAGTGCCTTATTTTCTTACTCCTGGAATCTGTAGGTAGCGGTTACAGAAGTGTTGGCCCATACCCCTGAAGAAGAAAACCGTGAACTGACTTGAATTCAGTGTTCACTGGCAGACTTTTGTCCTTGGGGTCAAGGTAAGTAATCCAAATACGTGATTCAGAAGTTGCTTCTCATAGCTGCTGCTGTTTTAAGCTTCTCATCTGGGACGGCTTGTTTTGCCAGAGCCTGTGGAATGACTGTGCGAATCAGCATTCACCCCAGGCCCCCTGTCAGAAAGAAGGCAGGCATCACAGAACAACATCCAGCTGCGGGGAGAGAGCAGTGTGCCCTGACTCCTGCAGGATAGACAGTCATTGCCTTCAGCTCGTGCTGCGTGAGTGTGGATGAGCCGTGTGGCCTGGAACGCAGGGATGAGTGGAGAGATTTGGCCTTGGACGTCTCGCCCGTCATTTCTTCATCACCTCCCTGCCTTGTGTGATACTCAGTGTTCTAGCCATTGGCACATCCTGTTCTGGTTTCCTGGCTCTGGCTGTGCCTTCCTCCCAGTCCTGTATCTTGCTCCACAGCACCAGGACTCTGCAGCTTCTTCGTTGTTGGGAGTGACCTGGATCTCTCCAGAGAAGGAAGAGGGCCATCCAGTCAGACAAATTCGCAACAACTAGCAGATTAGGTAGACACCCTGCCCAGGGTATTTGTTAGACCTGGGTCCTGGGTAAGGGTGAGATCTAGGTGTCTTTGGAACAAATCTTCTCCATCCTGCCTCTTCACCCTACCTAAGCACACTCTTAGCCACACAGCTCTGCTGTGAGACAGGGAAGGCACACGGTGTACACCGGCTTGAAGTCTGTGATGGACTCCTCCAGCCATTCATTAATGCGTTAGACAAAGTCTCACTGTGCAACCCAAACTAACCCTAACCTCCCAGGCTCAAGTAAGAGACCTGCCGCAGCAGGGATTGCATGTCTGGATCATGGGACCCGTCAAGTGCAGGTATTGATTGCCCAAACACCTAACACAAAGTAAATGCATTGAACTTTGATGCTTGTGCTGCTGACCTAGTGCGTTGATGGGTGGTTACTATCCTGTACCTCCTAATACAAGTGAGGACCTTGATATCCACCACTCAGGCAACTCACAAGGAGGTGATGTGTTAGCTGGAAAGGAAAATACCCTGTGGGGGTTATAAAAAGTGGCTCCCGAAGAGAGTGGCAGTATTAGGAGCTGTGGCCTTGTTGGAAGAGGTGTGTCACCGTGGGGTGGGCTTTGAAATCTCTTTTGCTCAAGCTTCCCTCAGAGTGACAGTCAACTTCCTGTTGCCTGCAAGATGTCACACTCTCAGCTCCAGCCCCATGTCTGCCTGCATACTGCCATGCAGTATGATGATACTATCATGCCCTGTCCTGATGATAACGGATTGAACCTCTGAAACTGTAACCGAGCCACCCCAATTAAGTGTTTTTCTTTATAAGAGTTTCTGCGGCCGTGGTGTCTCTTCATAGCAGTAGAAAGCCCTAAGACACCCCCCACAGAATTATACATTTGAACGTTTGATTCCCAGTTAATGGACCTGTTTGGAAAGGATTAAAGGGCGTGGCCTTGTTGGAGAAGGTGTGTCCCTGGGGTGGGCTTTGAGGTGTCAGATGCTCACATCAGGCCCAGTGTCTCCCTCTGCCTTCTACCTGAAGATCAGGGTGTAGAACCCCCAGCTAGTGCTCCAGCAGCATGCCTGTCTGTTTCCACCATGATGATCAGGATCTAACCCTCTAAAACTGTGAGCCAGTTCCAGAGAAGTCCACTCTTTTATAAGAGTTGCTGTTAGTCAGGCAGTGCTGGCACACACCTTAAATCTCAGGACTCAGGAGGCAGAGGCAGGCAGATCCCTGAGAGTTCAAGGCCACTGTTCTACAGAGCAAGTTCCAGGACAGCCAGGACTACACAGAGAAACCCTGTCTTGAAAAACAAAAAGAGAGTTGCTTTGGTCAAGGTGTCTCGTACAGCAATAGAGCAATGGCTAAGACACCTGCCACACACCACCACACACCGCCACACACCGCCACACACTGCCACACACCGCCACACACCGTCACACACCGCCACACACCTGCCACA